CTCAGGCTTTTTGGTTGTTCATAAATTCGCGCATCCAATCGGCCAGCATTTCCGTTTCTTGCAGAGTTACAGCATTGTAAAGCGAGGCACGGATTCCTCCTACCGATCTAGAAAGGGAGAAATTTTATGCCATACCGTAATCATCTTCAATCCCTACCTGTGCCCTTTAAGGGAAATCATTCCTCTTGCTTGCGCTCCTTTCAAAAATTCAGCTTCCAGCTTCTCATCACCGTTTTTGATACGGTAGCAGACATTCATGTAACTTCGACATTGTTTGTCTATATCGCATGTATAGAAACCATTTGAGTTGTCGATTAAGTTGTAAATCACATCGGACTTTTTCTGAATTTATAGTAAATTTATATATTTAACTATTAGTTGCTAGTAATTTATTATTCTTAACTTCTCTCCATCATTTTATTATATACTTTTCTATTTATTTGTTTTTTTATTACATATCGACTGAGCCCATTTGCTAGCTTAGCCCAACAAACCTTGTTTGTCTCAAAAATGGCATCAACACCTCCTTGATCTCGAATCCATTTCAGAACTAGATTTGTCAGATAAATTCTGAAAATTACAGATCTTAGGCGAGAGAATCCAACGAGGTTACATCAAAAACTTACCCATAGACTGGTGGAGTGTTATAAAGACTGTTGTTGTCTGTCATATCCTGATAGTTAAATATAGCTGGGGTTATTGGCTGTGCCTAAAAGATGTTACTGATCCTTTTCTTGGAAAATAATGAGAATTATAGATTTCCTACCTTTCCTATCAAGTCCTTTCTAACCATAACAACAGTCAGACCTGCTGCACCAAGATTTTTCTGTGTGCCACCAAATACCACTCCATGCTGCAAGAGATTTTTTGGAAGAGTGGGATTAGTTGGGTGAGAGGAAACTTACATTTGTAAAGTCAAAAGGTCTCGAAAGAAAGTTCGACGAAATATCAGCTACCAAAGGAACTCCATGTACTGAATAGGGGGGAGTGTGGAATTCGATTCCATGAACCGTTTCGTTGGCGCAGTAGTACAAATAGGCAGCATTCTGAGATAAAAATTGATCTTGAGGCGTACAAATATAAATTTTGAAACTTTAAATTTACCTTATCGTGATCCCACTTGCTTTGATCGGGAATTGTAACGAAAGGCTTTTTGGGAGTAAACACCTGCAAAGATTGGAGACTTTTTTGTTGTAATAGTTGTTTTAATGGGAATAGAATTAGAAACCTTTTTCACCGGGTTCAAATTTTATTCCAAAACCTAGTATCCTACCCATCAATTACAGCTGGTCCCCAAGTTTACTTGAGTTAAAATGACATCAAATTTTTTTGTTTTTTTTTCCTCCTAATATTTTTCC